ACTAATTGTCGGTAATTCGTAAACAACATAAACTTGTATATTCAATCTTTCATCGTATGGTGGTATATATATTTGATGGGCTTTGGAAGATGCGTAGTGTACAATGTGTTGGGAAAGATTTGTTTAGAATAAATTTTGTAAAAAATAATTTTCTTAAAGAATGCATGGTTAAAGACAAGTTTGTATGTATATAGTGAAATCCAACGGGTCATCGAACATTTAAAAAATATATCTATCTAATCATAGTATGGACATTTTAAAAATTTGTCTATAGCATAACGTTGTGAAACAAAAAGAGCAGAAAGTGAGACAATTATTATCTGATTCGACTTCTACATTGTTGGTAATTCGTAAGCAACATAAACTTGTATCAAGCACAATATGTAAAAGAAAAAAAAAATGTAAAAATGATTCTGACTATCACCTTCAGTAGAACTAATTTTTCAAGTTTTTTACAACCACCACGAAATCACTTGGTTTTCATAAGCAATGGTAATATCAGAAAGTTTCATAAATAAGATATATAATTTAGAATTGATTCAAAAAATATCAATAACCACATTCAAGTTATGTTTTGATGCAAAGCAAATGAATCAACAATGAGCAAGTTTGTCATAGCTAATTTCCAAGAAAGAAGTAACTTGCTTGCTTTTTTAAGTCTATGTGAACCAACAGTTTGAAAACTTGGCACAAGAACAAATAGGATTTTCGGTTAAAAAAATGAACTTCTAATTGAATCAGTATATAATATTTTGTAAAATTCAATGATAATTTTAATAAGTTGGAAAACAAATTAAAATTCAGTAGTCAATGGGATAATAAGTACAACGTTCAACGAGGGAAACATTATATTCGACTCTTACTGCTGAATAAGAACAAGGTAATAAGAAGCGTTGTCGGGGCCTTGTTGCAATGACAGTGCCCGACGTTGCTTGCTTTGTGATGACAGTGGTGTGTTGATGGCGACGTCGTAGCGTTGGCACACGGTGGTGGTGGGCAACAATTGTAGTGGTGTAGTTGTGATTGTGATTTGGGGGAATGGGTAAAATAATAGATTAGGGTTTGTGGATAGGTAGGTGTTGGGATATACATGATTTTTTAAAGAAAAAACATTGCACCTTATTTTTGAAACGATAGATTGAAAAGTAGGCTTTGAGTAATTTTCACATCAATTTAATTGAGAGTTAATTTCATAAGTGGTCACTAAATTTCAATTCAATTTTCAAATTTGTCAATTTTTGCGATCCATTTAGTTAACAAAATTAAATAACGTAACATAATTGATCACTCCCTCATTGGCATACCTTCGAAATTCGCGTTGGCCCATTGAAGATTGACATCGACTGATGTTCGTTGTATCAATTTCGTGAAATTATAAATCTTCAAAATAAAAATAAAAAAATTTAGAAGAAAAACCTCACGAGTAGTCAAAAAAATTCAAAAACCTAACATAATATTTTTTTCATTAATAAATAGTATAAAGGTCCAAACGGAACTAAAACACGAAGTAGACACGAATGAGTCAATCTCTTTAATAATTAATTGAAGTTTTGCTTGGATTTTAATGACCATCACTGAAATTAATTCATTTACTTGACCACAAAAGCTATCTATAATAACCTTGTGGAGGAAACACAATAATGTAACACTAAATTTAAGTGGTTAGGTTTTAAGATCATCGGAGTTTTACTTTCTTATTCCTTTTTTCCCCTATATTTTGTATAGTTGTGAAGTAAATTCCGTGTTTTCCCTAATGTGACTGGTATTCCGACTGTTCTGATCGGTTTTTACCACCTGCAAAATGAGGTTGGGGCTTTCTCCCCCGTTGTACCTCTGGCGTGAGAATTAGTGTTCGGTATTGGAGAATATGGAAAGATAGTATTGGAATTCAGATAGTTCGAGTTTGAAGAGTCCATACATTTTCCCACATTGAGGTATTTATAGGCATTTGATGGCACGCTCATGTTTCATGATTTGTTGTGCCACATGTCCCACTTGTATCTTCCCACTCCCCTACGTTCTATAGCGTCAACCCCCACTCGTCTAGCGATTGGTTATTCCCGCGTTTGTTGTTTGGTGGTTTTCGTCTATCTCAGGGTCATTTATTAGGCTAAGTATAGTGGGGGTCGACAGCCTCGTAATGATAGACGGCCTATGTGATTGTAGAGCGCCTCAAGGGGGTCGACGGCCTCGTGACAGTAGGCGGCTTATGTGAGCGTAAAGCGCCTCTGGGGGTCGACGTTCTGAGGGGTGCACATTAAGTAGCCGACCATTGTGGAGAATTATTAACACCGTCCTATATCAATGGATAATAAAGATATAGGTCAGTTAGTTTTGATGGGAATTTCAGTATAATGTCTCAACTTTTTTCATTTTGTGAACTAGTTTCAAATTGGTCATTAGTAACCATCTGTCACTACGTTTAATTTCTAGACATATTTTCTTTTACGATTCCTCTCGATTTCAGTTTGCTTTGTGAGTTTATAACGACATAAACGTGTGGGTTTAACATGAAAGTCGTGCAATTGAAACTCACACAATCAGATAAATTAACAAGTTCGTTAATGTCCTTACTTTACACGCATGATAATCCTTCAAACCCACTAAAATAAATAAATCACTGTGACAGAATCGTTACTTCGCAACCAAATTGAAACTTAATTGATGATTTTAGAACCTCTAATGTCTTAGCCAAAATTCAATTGGTAATAACTGAAATATATGGATTTTTTAGCCCCTGTTCGAACCTCATTTTTTTCCAAATTCATTTTCAAGCTTTCTCCAAAAAAAATAATAATAAATTAATTAATTAATTAACTACACATCCTAAAAAAAATTACCTTTTACAAAATTTATTCACAATAAATGAGGCTCAAAATGAATTTAATTGTTATCCTAGGCCGGAATAAGTGGTAAAGACAGAAGAAATCAAAGTCAGTCCTAGGGAAGGGAAGAATGGACTGGAATGAATATTGGTAGCGGTGGCAACGAGCCGAGCCGAGCCGTGCTGCGACGGACGGGCCGGCCATGACCCGTGAAAATCGGCCCGTGAAAACCGGGACCGCGGGCCGACCCGTGACCCGTGCGGGCGGTTCACGGGCCAAGGAGGTGTAACCCGCGGGCTTCGCGGGTTGCACCCCCACGGGCCGCGGTTAACCCGCGGCCCGTAAAAAAAAATTAAAAAAAAAAA